AGAATCAGAGCTTGATTCCGATGAATCGCCGCCATTGATGCGGAATTTTCGCCGATAAACACCGTGTTTGGTGGTGGAAGAATTGTTTATTTTGAACTGGAATTTTTTATTCGAGTGAAAAAATCACCGAATTTGGCTCCAACAAAATCCCGCCGCATATCTTTATTTTCCCTCTTTTCCACGTACGCACAAATTAGAAAAAAAAACCGCGCGTTTTTATGGTTTCAAAATATAGGTTTGAAACTTGAAATTTTTCCCACAAATTTTAAAAATCATTTTAGTGTTTCAAAGTGCAAACTGCAAAATACGAGAGGTTGTTATATACATTCTGGTGTATTGTATATCCATATGTATTTGTTTTCATTTTAATGATTGTTTTTTATTTAATCATCAAACTAGTTTTTAGGCCCGAGCGATGCCCCGGGTTATTTTTTGTATATAAAAAATTATAATAAATTAAAGTAAAATATATTGGTGGTTTTATAAATAAAAAAATATTATTGAATTTTTCAAAATTCATTATGAAATATGCAATAACCTAACTTTTATACTTCATATTAGTTTGTTTTATTTGTTACACGAATCTTTATCTACCATTATATATTTCTTCAAAGTAACCACATGTTGTGGTCTTAAAATTGTTATATAATTTTTGTGTTACATATTTTAAATACATACTTCCTCCGTTTTTTGTTACTTGACCCGCTTTGACTTTTACACCATTCACCACCCTTTCTTTGACCGTATTTTGTGAATAATATGTAAGAAAAAAATATATATTTATGTATGATTTTTTGGATTTGTCTCAATAAGTACTATCATAATATATAACTTTTATAATTTTTACTTTTGGAGAATTTAAGTTATTGATTGTTAAAATTTTGCATTGGCAAGCGTGATAAAAGAAACAGGTCAAGTAAAAAAGAACAGAGGAAGTAGTACATATAATCTATATGAATTACGGATGAGTAAATGAAATAATGGAATTATATTGAATTCAATTTGCTATATAAGTTCAATTAAAAATTTAGAATTTATGAACATAAATTTTTTGTGTAGAAACATTGATGATAGATTTTAATATGATATGAGTCACATAACCCCCACATCATTTATCAAGTCATGACGACACGTGGCACGAATACAATTCTTACCATGGGTTTTAAACTTTTAATATATATATAGGTGAAGCACAAAAACTAACATTGCATTTGTTGGGTGTACGTTATACCTGGGTGTATATAACAAATTCTTATAAAGTGTGAGTGTGAATAATTCGGGAAAAAAAAATTAAGAAAAAATATGTATGTAAATGATGTATATATCAATAATCAATTACAATATCTATTTAATGTGATTTTAAAAGGATACATGAAACATTGTTAGAGCAAATCCAACAGTGTAAAATTAGGACTAGCTTGCAATTTATGAAACTAATAAATAATTAGCTTAACCATTGGAATTGCATTACCAAATTAGCTGGGCAAAGCTATTCGCTTAGTTAAGCTAATTAGCTTAGCAAATTGTGGGAATTAAAAAAAATTAAATAAATAAAAAAAAGTATTGAAAATTAGCTTAACCATTGTGGGATTAATTAGCTACAAAGGTAGATTAGCTTTGCAATCCTAGGTGGCATGGCAAGCTAATTTCACAATTAGCTTACCATTGGAGTTGCTCTTATAAATCCAAGGTAGAAAAGAAAATACGAATAAAATTGGTAAATGAGTGGTGTATGAAAAAATCTTGATTTATAAAATTGGTTATTAACAAAAGGTATAACTAGGTTTGCTATTAAGGAGATACATCTAGCTAGTAAGCTAATTTAGATTGAATATTATGGATTAATATGCTATGCTCGGCTAAAATTTTTTATTGATTTGAATCTTAGTTGGGATTGAGTTTATTGTTTGTGTAAGTAGCATTTTATTTAACTTAAAGGAATAATTATTTTTTATATTACATTTATTATATATATACATTATATACGATACTTTGTGTCTTTGAGGTGAGTTTAAAATTCTATATTACGCCGGGAAAGATACGAAGTTGAATTGTGGCCAAGGGTGAAAAGCCAATTGGGCAACCAAGATTATTGCGGTTACAAAAATTTACCTAAGTTGTTGAGTTTGATTTTAACAAAATGGAGCTTCAAAATTTCAAGTTCACAAGTCTTTAAGATGTTTAATTTGATGAGTTTAACATCAAATAAGAAGTTAGGGTTTTCATTTTCAACCAAACGCACATTTCCCTTTTCCCCAACAAATTGCATATGCATGATATAAACTCCTTAATGTGAAATAATTATCATTCAATAACTTCAACCGGCTTAACGAGCGCCCATCACATGATAACTAAGCTAGCGCACTCAGTGAAATTGTCTTTAGTATCTTTACAAATTTATATTTATAACAATTGGGCTTAACTTGTTGAGTTTTTAACTTAGAATGACAAACTTCATACGCCATAAATGCATATGGTTGCAGATCGATAAGTTAATTACACTTCTATGTCAAAATTCAATGCCATGGCCATACAATGACATGGTCGATAATCAGCTTACACCAAATACACAATGAATTTGATATGGTTTATGTATTTACTGCATTTACACGTAGTTACAATACCATTTCATTTATAAACATGCCATGGGCACAAACTTATGTTGTAGCAACGAATTGGTCAATGGTTAGTAGTTTAATGTAAATGGACGAATGGTGGTAGAAAATTCAAAATGACTTTTTTTTGCCCCCTTCATTTACTCTCATAATGATATTTTGGAATGTATATGGATTTTTTTTTATTTTTTATTTTTATAGTAACACTCAGTGGCGGACCTACATGGGTACCTCCCAAGTCACGTGAATCACTAGTGAGGAAAAAATAATAAGTTTAATTTTGTTTAAAAAAAAAAACTCATAAACTGTGAAGAACGAAGCAACATGAGGAACTGAGTTTCTAACTCTCCTCTATCCTCATTCTCTCTTTTCTCTTTCCTTTATCCTCTTTTTCTGATTCTCTATCCTTTTTCCTCCTTTTTCTCTTTCTTTGATTCACTCTCTTCCCTCTCTCTCTTCTCTTTCTGCCCCAAAGGTTCAATTACGGAATACAAGAATTACATGGCTACCAGTCCAGGAAGCAAGAGCTAGCCTCATGAATATACTTGTTAATATATAGAAAATTGCACTAAAAAATATACAATTACACTTCTGGTTTTTCTCACTTCACATTAACCCCAACTTAAAACTAATGCAAACAAATTCAATCTTTTTCTTATACCAAGCTTCGTTGAAATCAATTTGTCACTTTTCAGGTTTCATTCTATTGGTTATTTTAAGATTCCATGAATTTCACTTTTAATTTGTTGAATTAGGTAGTGGAAATTACAATTGGTTGTTGAAATATTTTCTTGAGTTTTGTTATTTTGAAACTCAATTTAGTGGGAATATTTTTTTTGTTGTTGTTTATTAGATGTATCTTTATCTATATGGGGTTTTCTTAAGGTCATTCTTGATTGATGGAAAAAATTAAGGTTTGTATTGAATGTTAGTTTCACTTAAATTGGTAGGAGATTTGACATGCTATGTTTTTTAAATTTATTGAGATTTTTGATTGAATTTAGGGTACCATTGGGGAGTTAGAGTAGGGTGTATAATTTTTCCCAACTGGTATTTATTTGAGAAGTGATGACTAGTCGGGTGGGGGTCTCCTCCGTCACCCGTGGGTGGGCCTATCATTAGGCGAATTGGGAAACGTTGTTGGGTAGGAATCACTTTATTATGTTAGGGAGACTCTTAGGCGGTGAAGTAGGTATCGGTGGTATTGAATCGATGATTCAGGGTTTACTCACAGGCTCGAAAATCCTAGATCAGCCACTGGTATAACTCATGCAAATCTTTATAACTAGGATAAATCTATTTGTACATGATTTTTCCAATTTTTAATAAACGGTACTTTATATCAAGATTGCATAAATAAAATTTACACCATCTAATATTAACATTCTTTTTTAGGTAACTAGTATGCGTGTTATATATATGTACTTTTATATAATTTTTAAAGTGTTTCTAAAAAAAATTATAATTTTTAAAAATTACAAAAACTATAATAAGATATATCTATATTATAATTGTAGAGTCACTTAACAAGAGCCCTCCAAATCCCCAATCCTCAATTCTCATGCATTTGAGTGGTTTTTTTTTTTTTATTTTATTTTTTTAAAGGAAAAAAATAACTACCAATCCCACTACTTTATTATTTAATTTTTTTTTATCATTTTTTAGAAAAATCAATAACTACCCATTCACTGTTATTTTTTTTTTTTGTTTTTTTTATAGGGCTACTACCAACATTTCACTTTATGTGTGTGTGTTTTTTTTTTGGTACGTAGTATAACATATCAAAAAAAAAAATGTATTTTAAATCCCCAACCCTTCAATTATAGTACTTTAAATCCCCAACACTTCAATTATATGCCTTTTTTTAGGGACTACCCTCCAAACATTGCATGTTCCATTTCTTTAATCATCAACAAAAAAAATAAAAAATAAAATGTACAACACGTTTTTGTGCAACTGGCCTCAGCGAATAACTACTTGCAACAGAAAAAAGTATATAACTCCTAGAGCAAGACACTAACCCATATGACACTAACTGAGTAACACGAGTAACCCCTATAACATTGAACGGGTAACCTCTATAACTTTGAAAAAGTAAACCCCATAATAGCATTGTGTGGCCACCGACATAAAAGAGTAAGACCATCATACTCTGTATTTTAGGATAACACATCAGGTGTCAGCACATTATTAATACAATACTAGCACAACAGAGCTAATTAGGGTTCAACAGAACCGACCAGTCCAAAATCGACCATTACAATTTAAGTCTAAATTACAACATCAAAATCAACTTTTCACATTTTAAATATATTTTTTCTTATATATCCCGTGCATTTTGCACGGGTACACTCACTCTAGTAATTATTTAGGAGAATGGAATATTTTATTTGAGATTGAAAATGGAAAGGGTGGGAAAAAAAATGGAAGGAAAATAAAATTTCGAGCGAAATTTCAGAATTGCGCCAAATGTCTTTGCGAAAAAATTGAAATGGCGGGAAGTTAGTGGAGACATTTATTAATCTCAAATTCTCAAAAACCCCAAAAAGCTTTTTCTAGAGAGAAGAAAGATACAGAGAAAATAACTAGAGAGAGAAAGTTAAAGAAGTTCAATCGCCATTTCAAGGGTTTTTTTTTTTTTTTTTTTTTTCATTTCATTTCAAATTCTCTCTCCTCTTTTTGTTCTTAATTTTGCGAAAATCATCTCTCAATTTCTTGTCATTTTACTGTTCTTCTGCTAAATCTTTGTATTTTTCACTTGGAATTCAGCCATTTTTGTTCAAATGTAGTCAGCTTTGGTAAACCCTAGATTTTGTAGTTTTTGATTTTCGTTTTGGGGAAGTTAGGGTTTCTGAGCTTTAATGGTGGATCCGATGGAAATCGATGGGGCTCCGAATCCGACACCAAAGCAGCCGCCATTGAAGCGGAAGAGGGAGAAGCAGAAGGTTCTAGTGTTAAGTCCGGAGGAGAGAGAATCGAGGTTGAAATCTTTGAATGAGGAACTTGAGAGCTTGTTCAGGTACTTTGACGAGGTTTTGAGCATCGATTTAGGTTTAGCGTTGCATTTCAGTAGTCTTTCGTCGAGTAATAATGTGAATGCGATGATTGCGGTGTTGTTGGAGGAGAAGAGGTGCTCGTATTCGAAGTTGGTGGGAGAGATTTACGAGAAAGTGAAGGAGAGAGAAAATGAGATTACGACTGCGAATGTGAAGAGCAGTGTGTTGTTTGCTGGGCAGAGAGTCGCCTATGGAGTCCCCAATGCCGATGCCGATGTTTTAGAGGATGAGACTGGATCTTGCCTTTGGTGTTGGGAGGTGATGGTTTCTTGAAATGTTCTTATATGTTCATTTATGTAATGAAATACTTTATTGATTCGTATCGATAGTTTGATTGTGCTTGCTATAATTTTGGTAGGTGATGGTTTCTTGAAATGTTCTTTTATGTTCATTTATGTAATGAAATACTTATTGATTTGTATCGATAGTTTGATTGTGCTTGCTATAATTTTGGTAGGTGATGGTTTCTTGAAATGTTCTTTTATGTTCATTTATGTAATGAAATACTTATTGATTCGTACCGATAGTTTTGTTGTCGCTTGCTATAATTTTGGGGGTGATGGTTTCTTGAATTCATTACGCTTTATAATTTGACAAGAAGTTGTTAGGGATACAGTGATCTTGAATTGATTATGATCTATAAGTTCGGTATGCTTCATTTATAAACGTTTTTCGGTTTATCATGAAGATGAACTTGTATTTTCTCATTTATAATATATCTGTATTTCAGGTTTTTATAGAATTAAAATTGGAAATGATAGAATAGGTCACTGGTTTGCAATTTTTATCTGGGATCATGCACATTGTCTCGGTGTATATTGCTGTTTTGTTAAACTTATCCAGTAAAGTTGTTTATTTAATCAGAAGATTTATGGTGGATTTCGTGGCAATAGCATTTGTCTGGCTTGTTATTTTTTCGGGAAAGTGCTAATGTTATGCTTTCTGCTTCTAGTATATTGTAATGACCAATTGGAGACTATTCTTCAATTTTGTTCCCTGAATGAATGGAGGAGGATGGTATTTGTGAATGACCATGAATGATGAATTCTTGTTTCTGCAGCCGATCCTATTCTTTTGGGAATAGGGCATTGGTTTTGTTGCTGTTTAATTAACTTGTTTGTAACTTTCTGATGCAGACTAGGGACATGAAGCTATTGCCAAGTTCTTTGCGTGGGGCATTAAAAATCCGTCGCACTTGTCGTAAAAAGATTAATGAAAGGATCACTGCCGTCTCAGGTAAGAATCTTTTGCTGTCTAAGGTTTACCCATCTACTACTATCATGTTATATATGGATCCTTGAATGTGAACTTCTACTAATCTTCTGGCCCGACAAATAAATATAATTTTTTTTGAAATTAATGAAAGAAATATAAGGTTTTAATGCTACTTTGAATTGGATATATTATTAACTTTCTGCCTTTCTGGAAGCTATGTCATGTTATAACTTTCTCATTTAGGATCACTTAAACTGATTGCTCTAACCCTGCATTCAACATTCTTGAATATCATTATCTGTAATTACTTTTGTTTCTGACGTTATGTATACCTGATCTCAGACGTAATATCTTTTCTGCAAAAATCCGAGGATGACCCAACCTGCAAAGCTGATATGACAAAAGCAGCAGAAAAGCTCAGTAAAGTTTTAGCAGAAGCAGATATTCGTTTGCTCGTGGAAAGCTTGAATCAGAAAAATGATTCTGAACTGTAAGTAGATCCAGTACTGATTGTTTGGAGTTGGACTGCAAATTTCCGTTTGTAAACCATTATATTGTTTTTCAGAGCTGAAAAAGAGGCAAAAAAGAAAGATTCAACTCTTATCAAAGAGTTTGAGAAAAGTAAACGTGAAGTAGAGAAGGAGAAGAAAAAGGTGGATCGTGAGCTTCAGAAGGAAAAGTTACAGAGTGTATGTGATACTTCCTCTCTTGTCCAAACCCCTTCACCTAATGTAAAATACAGTTAGGCAATTAAAGTCTGAGTTTGCCTTTTGAAAAGAAATATTGCATAATAATTACTGAATCACATTTTTGGGCTGTTGCTTGAGTATTTATGTTGTATATTAGGAAGAGTTGGTATCAATAAACAATGGCCCTTATGTATGCTTTCCACTTCAAGAGAAAATGCTTGCCTTCTCCATGGGCATCAAGCCAACCTTGTATTCATGAGATTATAACAACATTCAAATAACAATACAACATGTAAATATGACGGAAGTTGAGAAGGTTGCTCATGATTTATATTTACAGCGATGCTTGTTATTTCTTGTGTATGGACTTCATTGGTGCCTAAACTTAACTTTAGTTATTTCTATAGCTTGTCGTCTCTGAGCTTATTTATTCACTGAGTGGATCTCTACACATTATTTTATATAGCATTATTTACTTTCTTGCAGGAGAAGGAGAAGAAGCGTCTGCAACAAGAGGCTGAAAGAGATGAAAAGCGTCGTGAAAAAGAGGAATCTGAAATTAGGAAACAGCTTAAAAGGAAGCAAGAGGAAGCTGATAGGGAACAGCGTCGAAAAGAGAAAGAAGAAGCTGAAATAAAGAAGCAACTTGCCATCCAAAAGCAAGCTTCAATTATGGAACGATTCCTTAAAAAAAGTAAGACGACACAGACATCTCAGAGTGATCAACCACCAAAAGCTGCTACTCTCAACCATCCACCAAATGAAAGTGCTCTAAAATCAGTTTCTCTTCTGATGGACTCTGCTCTGCAACAGCAGGAAGAAATTGACGTGGATGAGATTCGCAAGTATGCTCTATATGACTTAAGTCACATTTGTTCATGTTATTGATCCCCTAAATTTTTATTTCACTTTTTCTTGTGGTAGGTAACTATGTGATTGGTATTGGTACATGTGAATTATTTAAAAAGCTTTTATCCTTCACAGGTCTCATATGAGTTATTGGCGCTCACTAGGGCATTCTATCCGGTCAAACCCCAAGCAGAACTGGGGCTTACGTCATAAACCTAAGGGCGAGCTAATTAAAGAGCTAAAACTCACCTCTAACAAAGGACCAGCTCGTGATGATGACTTGTGGATAATAGATAGCATTGCAGATGAATGGGGACAAACAAGTACTGATGATAAATCATGCCAAGCTAACATAAGTGCTTCACCTAGTACCAGCAAGTACATGCGAAGAAAACAACTCCTGCAGTTTGATAAGAGCTGTAGGCCTGCATTTTATGGTATTTGGCCAAAGAAAAGGTAAGGGTTAGTTAGTGGTACTTGTTTGACGAATTTTCATATTCAAATTGCTTGCTAAATACTTGGTGTTTCATGCTTGACTTTCGATGCATATTGCAGTATTGCATGTTTACTTTTCCTGACTAATACACTTATTTAAAAGACTAAAAATATGAGAATATGAGATGCCTTGTTGAGAGAGAGGGAGAGGGGAGGGATGGAGGAAAACAAACAGTAGGAAGCCCTTTTTTTGCAGGTTGTTGGGCTAATGTTATCACATACTCCCTCTGTAATCAAATCACTGTTTGCTATCAATGACAAAATTGATAAATTTTAGCAAGTCTAAATTTTAATAAGTCTGTTGAGCAATGTTTATGTTAAATTTCGAAACAATATGAAATGGGCCTGGCAACTTGAACAAGGAGGAGAGTTTGGTCCACAAACAAGGCTAAGGAGCTTCCATACTAAAACCAATTGGCAGTAGTAGGAGTAACTCCTCTATCTTATAAAGTAGAACCACCTCTCCTCTTTCTTAGATATGGGACACTCACAAATGGGCTACAATGAGTTTCAGCAATCCCCCTCATCATGCGCTTTCTCTCTCTCTCTCTCTCTCTCTCTGCAGGGTCCCAAACTCCCAGGGTTGTTTTATGTGCTAATCCTTCCCCCTCCTTATGATGGATTATTTTTGCTTGAGTTTATTGTTACTTTTTCCTTATACGATCATATGCAAGTGAAACATCTTACTAGTATTTTTACTTAAGTTTTGGAGAATAACATGATTTTTATTGAAATCTGCAGTTGTGTTATTGGACCACGCCATCCATTAAAAAGGGATCCTGATTTGGAATATGAAATTGATAGTGATGAAGAATGGGAGGAGGTAGTTACATATTTCTTGTTTTAACTTTTTAAATTTGTCTATCTATAGCACAGTAATTTCCATACTAATGTTATGTATTAATTTTGTCATGGCAGGAGGATCCAGGTGAAAGCCTATCAGACTCGGAGAAGGAAGAGGAAGAAATCTTGGATGAAGGATCTTTGAAAAATGATGATGATGATGAGGAGAGTGAGGATGACTTTTTTGTACCAGATGGCTATCTCTCGGAAAATGAGGTACGCAACAATTAGCACATTTTCCTAATCTTATCCTGAGAGCGCAACACCCCCCCCCCCCCCACACCATACACACACACACGAAAATTGATCTGATAGATTTTATTTCTCTTGGGCGTGCCTTTTCTTTTCTTTCCTTTTCCTTTTGGAAGCAAGATGAGAAAGTTCTTAATGGTTTTTAAGTAGCTTTAATTTATGCCTTTTACTGTGAAAAGGGTTCAGATTGAGGAGGCAGAAGGGAGTCTATATGATTTATTTTATAGGCTTGTGGACTTGTGGTAAAGAGATGCTACTTGTATTAAGAAACTTCTGCTTTCAACACATGAAAGTTTTGATGATGTAGTTTGTAAGTAGGGTTAGACTCCTCAATCCTTCCCAATCTTTGTCAATAGCTTTAGTCAATGTGAGGGAAGTGTAGAGAATGGGCCAAAAGTTCCATTGAACTCAAATTGGCGACATCATTCTCATGTCTGTGGAAATTTAGCTCACTTGAACCTTGATGATGCGTAAAACAGGTAAACTACACATCACTGTGGAAATTTAGCTCACTTGAACCTTGATGATGCGTAAAACAGGTAGACTACACATCACTGAAGGGTTTACCTTTTCAGGTGGGATAGAGATGGTTTTCAGAGCACACTAGCATAGTTTTGAGCCACATTCCTATGCTATTTATATAGATTATCTTAATCTCAGAGCTTCTAAGAACTTTAAGAGGTGGGCTGGCATATTTATTGCTAGCATGACATTTTTTTTTTTTTTTTTTTTTTTTGGTATTTGATCTGCTATTGTATGGCTCTTTGGATTTTGGTAGATCTTTGCTGAGAGAATGTCTCCAATGCAGGGAGTTGACACCGATAGAAGTCAAAGTAACTTTGAGGCAGGTGTGACCACCAGTCCACTTGGTTGCAAGCCAGAAACTCTAAGTGAAGAGTATTCATCTTGGATGCGACAACAGAAATATCTACATAATTTGACTGAACATGCTCTTAGAAAGAACCAGCCTCTTGTCATTGTAAACATGATGCATGATAAAGCTCACTTGTTATCAGCTGAAGATCTTACTGGCAGTCTCAAAGTTGAGCAAATGTGTTTGCAAGCTCTTAGTATGCGTGTTTTTCCTGGTGGGATGTCTATTGAGGTACCATCTGACAACAATTTGCGTGAAGAGAATCAAGATGCTTGCACCTCAAACAGCAAGGGAAGCACAGCAGCAACAATGGTTGTTACACCAATACCAGACTCCGACCTTCCTAAAATTGTAAGAGACTTTCCTGGCATTTTCAATTTGTTTGAAAGATATCAATGTTGAGCTGTAGATTTATTACATTGTGGTTTATTGTGTTTGCAGGTATCAATAATTCAATCCTGCCCTCAGGGTATAAACAGAGTGCTGGAATCCTTGCAGCAGAGTTTTCCTGATATCCCCAAGACTCACCTGAGAAATAAAGTCCGTGAAATATCTGAGTTCGTAGATAATCGTTGGAAGGTTAGTGGAATTTATGCATTAAATTATTTTTTGTCCTTATAGTCTGTCGTATTCTTAAGGTTGGTTGCATAATATGAATGTGTTTCAGAAGTCTTGTAGTATAAGTCAGAGTGCCTTTTTTGATGGTTGTGATCTTATAAGGTTGTCAATATGAGGCCAAATTCACCTGTGTAATTCTTGTGGCTGTAAAACAAGACTTTTAGACTATAAAGATTAAAGCATCAATTGACTGAGCCATTCTTAATTAAAAATGAAACTAAAACATGTTACTATAATACTATCACTTTCGTTCAAAAGAAAGTGAACATTACTGTAATTTTCACCACCACTTAAGATCTTTGAATAATGGCAATGTAAGATTTTATTTCTGCAACTTAATCCTCTTTTCTTGGCAGTTAAAGTGAGAATGTTTATTAATTATGTTATGGTAATGCAGGTCAAAAAGGAGATCTTGGTAAAGCTGGGAATGTCAAGCACACCAGGTACATATGCTTATTTTGTCTTTAAAGACTATTTTTTTTTTTTAAAAAAAAAAGAAGCAAAAAGTTTGGACTATATTCAAAGAGCTTCAAGCTCCCTCAATTCCATAGCGCACATTCACATTTCATCTTTCCTATGCATCTCTTTTCTCCAGCTAATTTTGAGAAATTGGCTATTGTTGTGAGTTTTGAAGACTAAGCCAGATGCTTCTACAGTTTTTTTTTTTTTGTTTTTTTTATTTTTTATTTTTATTTTGGAAGACAGATGCTCCTTCAGTAATTATTGCACATATAACATCTTTGACAGATTCCTCATTTGGGAGAAGGGCTATCTTCTTCCTGCCATTACTTGTTTCCCACCCATCCAATTCATAACCCACCTCAGCGTCTCCACTTCCACATGCCCATTGGTTCTGTTCAAACCCTGTTTATATTATATGATACTACCACACCCTAACTCTTTGATCAAATAGCAGTATTACCGTGGTGATAATTAAAATGAACTGAGGGTATGCTATTGGGCATTCCACAATGTTAATCACTACCTACCTATTATAACTTGGCCCTTGGACCGTGCCAATATGAAGGAGTTGAGGAATGTACTTAGCATTACACTACTGTAACCGGATTGCATTAAAGCTGAAAGTTAAAATAAAGCAATAAATGGAATTTTAAACTTTCTGAATTTCTAATGGTTTGTCTCAAAGCTGTTTAATTTTACTAAATAGTAGCTTTTTGACTAAACTTGCAGAGAAGAGTGGAGGTAGAACAAGAAGCATTGCCACATTTTTTTCAAAAAGGTGTTTGCCACCAGCTGGTAATGTTGGCAACTCCTGTGACTCATCCCCTGAGTCCATAAAACCCACTTCGTCCTGCCAACAGCCGCCGCAGCAGCAGCAGGTACGCTCAGAGAACGTGTAATCTCCTTGCCTGGAGGGTTTTCTTTTACGCTTCTGGCCCAATTTTTGCTCCTGATATATTCTGGGGCTTGTATCTAAATTTTCTATATCGATGTAGAATTATAGATTAGCATGGTTCATTTTGTTGCTTCTGATAAAGACGGGTGGTTTTTTCTTTCCTTTCTAAAGAACCTTTTTTCAACAATACAACTACTAACTGGTTAAGCATAATATGTGAAAGTAGTTGAAAACAAACATGTACAGTATACTTCATGATGTGAGGCTTTTCCCTACCTTGATTTCGATATCTTACTTACGTGCTATCGACGTAAATCTTCATATGAAGTTGCCCAATTTGGGTGTTCACACGATTATGCATTCTAATATTGGGAGCTTTGTTCACCTTATAAAGGACTGATGACATGATGTAACGCTAGTTATAATACCTTTGTTATAATTGAAAAACAGAACTACCAAGGAAAAAATTATACAAGTACACTACGGAGTAGTACTTTAGTTTTCCACATTTTTTTGACTGGAAGCATTGCAACTTTGCAAGGACCACTTTAAGAATCCTACATCAAGGAAGCAAGTTCATATACAAGTACAAGATTAAGCTGAATATATTACCTCGATTTTTAAATACCTAGGTTTTTTTTTAAAAAAAAAATTTTTATTGCTTAAAATATGCATTTTTCTATACATAAATATAATCATATAAATCAAAATTATACAAGTATGTTTTCTCATGTAATTATGTATTTCACACAAGGTTAAATTTTATCTTTTAATTTGTTCAATCCAAAAATATTTCATTAACACTTAAAAATCATAAAATTTGCATGAATTATTTATAAAGAAATTTATTGGATACAAGAAACGTATAGTAGATACTAATATTAATCATGGTATTATCATGAGGGCAACCTAAATTGTTAAACAAATTTAATTTAATCTCCACATCACAAACTCTATTCCTTTGGTTTAGGAATTTGTTGACAATTTTTTTATTAAAAAAATTTACTAAAATTGCCACTAATCGTCTCAAATCATCATACTACAAGTCACAAACCCAAGATTAGAGCATTTTTCCAAATGTCAATTTATGTAATTGCTTGAAATAAGATGGATGCATGGTTTCCACGTAACAGTTAATAAGGCTTGAAATATGGACAAACACAAATTAGAACTTTTATTGTTTGGGTATTTTGGCTTTTTGCTAAAAAAATAAAAAAGTTGCTGTAATATATATAAGATCTTTTAAGCTGATATGATTGCATGTATTCTTTCTTTTTTTTTTAGTTACAAAATGTCATCATCTTCACCATTAATGTGTCCATTGTTTGGTTATGTAGGCTATTAACGTAATACATAAATCCAGTGTTGAAAAATGACCGAGTCGTACTCTTTTTATAGACTAGGGTTTATTTCTCTCTGTGAGAGTTTAGGGTTAAAGTTTTCTCCTTTCATTACTAAAAGTTAGATTATTGATGGGAATTTATGTGGTTTTATGACGATAATTCTTTATCTACATTTACTCGTGGATTGACTTATAAATTACCTCATAATAGATTAAAAGATGCACTTATGCACCCTTCTTAAAAAATGTTGTACAAAACAACAATATGAAGTAAGATTGCGAAAATGTTGATCCAATTTAGGGTCTGATTGGCTGAACCGAACTGAACTGAATTGAACTGAATATTTTATAAGAGAAGAAAATTAGGAACTGAACTGAACTAAACTGAACTTATTAGATCTGAATTGAACTGAAAATAATCATATTAGAACAGGACCTTTTTGCTGATTTGGGCTCACATTATATAGGTTATATCACTTGTCTTTTAAGACGATTAATAATATAGACGAGATTTGATACTATAAGGCTATAATTCCCATTTTGGACTAATAATAACTTAAAAGTTGTTGACATCCACTTGTTAAATAAATTAAGTTGTGGAAAGCTGGAAACTATACTGCATGTGTTGTGTGACAATGTGAGGCTGTGAGCTCATCAAAATCAAAAGTTTGGTCCAACCTAAATTACTAAATTACGATATAAAATTTCCATCCTACTTTGGTGGATTTTTTTTTTGTTAATGTACAACGTTTTCAGCTAAATAGTAACTGTGGGTACACTAGCTATGGAGTATGGACTTAAATCTGTGGATGGTTTTACATCATTTTTATTAGGAAATCAAAAGTTAATTTGAAATGGTCTTCTTCTTAAAATTCCTTAAACGGTGGACTCCTAGAATATTGGTTATAAACTTATAACTCTTATGCATACCTTTTTTTGGTACACTGAAAAATGAAAACTGTGGGTGGTTTTGTCCTTAGTTTTATTGAGTTAAATTGTACGAGTACTTGGCGAAACTTAAGATATTTTGTCGGCAGATGCCTGATTTCTTTTGTAATTGTAAATAGCCTGAAGTATAAATAGGACAATCTTTTATGAACGAGCTAAAATAAAGCCTGTGTGAGAATCGCGTTATCATGATAAAAAAAACTCGGAAAATCTTGTAAGAGCAACTAAAATATTACTTTGTATGTATAAAAATAGGACAATGTTTTAAAGACAGAGTGAGTACTGAACAAGTGTAACCTTTAATTTTCAGATTATGAGTGCCAGGTTGTAGTAATCACTTATTCACCTGAACTATATGGCGGTTTTTGTACACTTCCATGAATTTTGTGAATACATGCAAATGTACTCCCTCCGTCCCAAAAAGAACGACCCATTTGGTCAAAACTTTGTTCCAAAAAGAATGACCCATTTGCATTAAAACACCACCAATTTGTAACAATATTTGTGCAAAATTAGCTTCCCCATATAAAAATTTAATTTTCCATGTTATTTTATTACTTTTTCTCTCTATTTTTTTACAAACCCCATGTAAATTTATCTTTCCAATATACTTTTACTTCTTTTTACTTAACTTCCTTAATACCCGCGTAATTAATCCAAATGAGTCGTTCTTTTTGAAACAGAGGGATTATATATTTTTTTCCCCTAAAAGATTTTTGTGTGGCAATGTATGCATGCAAATTTAATGTACCAAAACCGAAAGCAAGGTCATTATTTTATAAATTCAATATTGATATTTGTAAACTAGTGTATTAGTGTAGAAATTAATTTTACTATGGCCCACAAATGCTTCAAATTCTCACCGTACCCTTGAAATTTTTTTGATTTCTTCAAACATCCATTAGTCATGTTAACAAAGAAATTTTTGGGCGACAAAATCTATGATGTGCTTTGGATTGGGTTTTAAGCCAAAATCTATTATGCACGCGAATGTACTTTTAGGAGGAAAAATATCGCGCATATACAATACATGAATGATTTGTACACTAGCAGTCTAGCACATATATAACTCATATAGACATAGGCCATGTTTGGTAATTGACTTTTTGGTTAGTTTTTGGCTTTTTTAGGTGGTCAAACAGCCAAAAAATGTGTTTGGTAATTGGCTTTGTAGTCAGCGAAAAAGCTGGCTTTTAAGCCAAAATGAAAAAGCTGCTTTGAGTAGCTTTTTTGTTGGCTTTTGGCTTGTTGATCCACAAATTATCTAATAAACAGCCAACAACCAACCATTAATTTACCAAACACTTTTATAAACAGTCAGCTTAAACAGCCAATTTCAAAAGCCATTATAAACAACCAAACATTTCAGCTGGTCAAACAAGCCAAGTGAACCAACCAACAGTCAACCGCCAACAGACATTTGCCAAACAAGGCCATAGTCGAATTGTAACATGCATGTACACACCGATGCATCATGCATGATGTGATCGCTTGTTATGCACACAACACTCCTGCACTCCAATGTACAATGGATCGAATTGAAGGGTTTGAAGTTGATAGATTTCAACTCATTAATATTGGCATGTATTATTGACAAATATGGTATTGAGATTGAAGTCATAATTATGTAGTACGGAGTACCATTTAAGTCTTTAATCTAATTTAGGATCAAGAGAGCCCGTAATAATTGAAATTGTCCAAATAAATACCCCAAGTAGTGCAAAGTTTGAAGTCCATAAACGGATGAACCCATGTAGCCGATGTAGGTGTACGCTAAAAAGTTACAACAATGCACTTCATACACACAAGCTCACAGCCATACACCAACAATTGTAGACCTCATAATAATACACATGTCATATTTGTCATACATTATAGGTTTCAACAAACAAAGTGTTAGCTCACTTAATAAGGTTCTTATTTCAGATCATAGAGGTTTGAAGTTCGAATCCTATCAAGTAGGAGTACAGATTTCATTACCATCCCCTCTACTTACAAGACCTTATTTAATAGAGAGGATGAGAGCATCCTTCCCTATTTCAAAAGATCATGGGATCGATTTAATAGAGAGGATGAGAGCATCCTTTCCTATTTCAAAAGATCATGGGATCGATTAACATCATCCGTCTCTGTAACTCTTTAACTACCAAAAAAAAATAAAATTATAAAACAAATTTACAACGTGACAAATTGTGCCCTTAAACAAAATAGTGGCAAATTAGTACTTTCACAAAGTGGGAGTACTATTTCCGTTTGAAGGCGCAACCCTTTCCCTTTTTTTTATAAACCGCACTAATTTGCCTCTCTTTCCTCCAAAAAATCCCAACCATTTTGATACTCTGCTCTCTCTCTCCCTTCCTTCCTCGTTGAGATCGTCCTTCTTCACTTTCTCTCTCCTCTTCTCATTTCTCTTTCTGGAAAATTTAATCAAGCAAACCTTTTCACACCCAAAAAAATCCAGCACTACTCAAACACACCCAACAAATTCTAAAAAATCCAGAAAAAATGGCATTGAAATTTCAACACCCATTGACATTTCAATCATCAAAATCACCTTCTTCCTTTGCCGTCTCTCGATCTCGTCTCCCCAGATCTTCTCATCGCGTTTCCATGGCTTCCACCATTGGAATCACCTCCAAGTTAGCTCCCTTTTCTCTTCTTCTTTCATTTACTGATATTTCATTGATTTTCGATGTTTTTTTCATGTGGGTATTACTGTTGTTGAATTTATTTTTCTGGGTTTTGAATTTTTGATCTTGGGTTTTAATTTCTGTCATTTTAGACCCCTCTTTCAATTGGGTTTATGAATTCGGAGCTGAGTATAATCATTAAGTACTGTATTCTGTATATTTTATTGTAAATCAGTATTCTTATTTAGTTACGACAGAATCACGCATTGATCGGTGTAATTAATGTTAATCGTATCGAGTTTTAACATTCGGGTTTTGATTTTTGATGGAGATTGTATGATCGTTGTTCAGTCTCATAGTTTGTATTTTTCAATGTTGATTTTTTTTTTCTTTCTCATTATTTGGGAATTTAGTGTTTTTGCATGTGGGTATTTTAAGTAACCTGGAGAGTGTCTGCTATGAATGTTAGGTGAAGAAGATTATTTCGTTAATTTCTAGGTGTATATTTTTTTATTATTAATTTTTAAAAATTTCATCCTAATTTTTTTTTTGTCCTGTATATTTTGCTTAATTCTGTTAAAAATAAAACGGAGTAATATTTCTTCCCAATATTTCTGAATTTTAGTTATTTTTTTTTCATAAAATATGCATCTTGATTTAAAATACGCCATTTTTGTGGAGATATTGTATCAATGGATTAAATACAGGTCGTTTTTCTATTAATAGCTCAATATTGTCATTCGATTTTATTTGTCATCCTAATATGGCACATTAAAATCTTGATTGTGAGTTTATATTAAAATAAAATAATGATTTTCTTGTTTGTTATTTGGGATTTGTCTTGTTCAGTTGTCATTTTCATTGAACTTTATGTATGTCATTTGCCGACTCAAATTGCTGCATTTTGTGACTAATTAATTTTGATATGTAGTCCTAATTATTAATATTGGTGTTAATGGTCTTGGTTTGTTGACCATGTTAGTTGTTTACTTTAAAGTACTTAGCTATTAAGTAATGTAATTATAAGAGGAAAATGACATCAAAAAAATCTACCTTGCTTTCCTTGTGACACGATTGTTTTCTGATTTTGACTGAGTTTTAAATTTTTGGGATTTTGTGTTATGAAGTTTGTTGATGTGTAGGGAGTTAACCGTCTTTCAATGACGGCGATGGGATTCCGTGCATTAGTGTCTTGCTTACTTGCTACGACAATATGCATGCTTTCTAAATCAATTGTCTCTTCGAGTTTTTTGTTGGAGTATATAATTTGGACTCTTTAATTTACCTCAAGAACCAATGTCGGATACCATGATAGTGACAATCTCCCTTGTATAGAATCTTTGACACATTATTTGGGCGAAATCATACAAAATTATCAAAATGACCGGGTTTGACACTTGGACACGTACCTCATGTTCAATACTCAGAGCCAAGTCTAGGTGACATAACTTTGGTAGAGTATGTATATTCTTGATCTTTATTTGATCCCCCTTTTGCTCACTTGGAGCCTTGCAGGTTGTGATCGTGTCCTCATTTGAGATTCCAAACAAAATGAATTTGACATGCTATTAACTTCTTTGTTAGACCTAGCTGATCATAGTGCCTTCATAATACGTCCATTGTAAGGGAATCCCGGTGATTAGAATCAGTAGCAGAGCTCTGTTTTTAAGCTTCATTTGATGATTCAATCTTGTCTATTAACTATGTTTGTTTTGTAAATTATGAGAATGCCTTCCTGCTGGATAATTTATTCTCCGTCTTTTCTGTTTATATAACTTCTAGATGTTGTCGTATTGTCACTGGCAATACTTTACTGTTTTGAATTCATACTGTGCTATGCTGGTTAGTTTATTAATTGAACAAATTGACAGTGATTTTTGTCATGCATATATAGTTCATTGCTGTTATATGTGTTGAATTTTTGCTCCATTCGAGTTTCATATACTGCTCCACAAATTGTCTTACCCCTTAAGTTGCCTGATGCTATAGTCTTCTTGATTTAGGGAAATTCCAAATGGTAAAAAGCCATTCATGCCTCCAAGAGAAGTACATGTGCAGAAGACTCACTCATTGTCTCCACAAAAGATTGAGATGTTCAAATCCTTAGAAAATTGGGCTGAGGAAAATATTCTGGTGCTTCTAAAGCCTGTAGAGAAGTGTTGGCAACCACAAGATTACTTACCAGACCCTGCATCAGAAGGATTTGATGAGCAAGTCAAGGAGCTGAGGGAAAGAACTAAAGAGCTTCCCGATGACTACTTTGTTGTCTTGGTTGGGGACATGATCACAGAAGAAGCCCTCCCAACGTACCAGACTATGCTTAACACATTGGATGGAGTTCGTGATGAGACTGGTGCGAGTCTGTCTCCTTGGGCTATCTGGAACAGAGCATGGACTGCTGAAGAGAACAGGCACGGTGATTTGTTGAACAAGTATCTTTACCTCTCTGGACGAGTTGACATGAGGCAAATTGAGAAGACAATCCAATACCTGATTGGATCAGGAATGGTGAGATTCTTATCCATAATTAATGTTTCTATAACCACCCCACCCCCAACTATCACATTCCTTTTTGTTTGCTGTAAACAAAAAAAATCTAATCACAAAAAAATCCAAACACATATAATGACTCTTTGATAGAAATCTTGCACTTTGTGACTTGTTCTGAATGACCTTGAATTATGCATAACTTAGGCTCATCCCCAAATCACAAAAGAGAATGTGTGATTGGAAATGCTTTATTTGTTTAATTATAAGGCCAAGTAGGCAATTTTCAGACAGAAAAAATGAAAGCTTAAAGGTAAAAGTGATTCAGCTTCTGGTGGCAAATTTCATTATGTAGTGTTTAGTTGCATGATTTGAAAGCTTGGCCTCTTCTGTGAGTACTTATGAGCCCCTATACAGTACATCTCTCTCTCAAAGGAAGATATACTGAAATTCTTTTTACCTTTTGTTTGGTTTACTGATTTGGTTTCATCTTTTAATGTCTTGTGTTGTTTGCAGGATCCACAAACTGAGAACAACCCTTATCTTGGGTTCATCTACACTTCCTTCCAAGAAAGAGCTACCTTCATCTCTCATGGTAACACTGCTAGGCTAGCCAAAGATCATGGGGATTTGAAATTGGCGCAGGTGTGTGGAATCATTGCTGCAGATGAGAAGCGCCATGAAACTGCGTACACTAAAATAGTCGAGAAGCTCTTTGAGATTGACCCAGATGGCACAGTCTTGTCTCTAGCTGATATGATGAGGAAGAAGGTGTCAATGCCCGCCCACTTAATGTATGATGGTGTGGATGACAACCTTTTTGATAACTATGCATCCGTTGCTCAACGCATTGGAGTCTACACTGCAAGGGACTATGCTGACATCCTGGAATTTCTAGTTCAGAGATGGAATGTAGAAAAATTGACAGGACTTTCAGGTGAGGGACGTAAAGCGCAAGATTTCTTGTGTGGATTAGCTCCAAGGATTAGGAAACTTGAGGAGAGAGCTCAAGCTCGTGCTAAACAAACATCCCTTGCTCCGTTCAGCTGGATCTTTGGCAAAGAATTGACTGTTTAAAAGGTATGGCAGTAAAATGAAAAGAAGACTACATGCATCTACCTTGCCAGTTTCTCTTTATAGCTCAGTTTAAGTGATGTAATCCTTTGTCTTTCAAGATGATGTTGGTTGAAAGAAGTAATAGTCATTGTAGATACTTTTGTTTGTCTAGTGAAATGCATAAGCATTTTAAGAATAGGGAAACCTGTAGTTTTAGTATGCTTAATTTTGTCCCCTACATCCTGAGATCTGTTGTATGAGTGAATTGAATTTATAATCTATGTTGGATCTTGCCAAGCTTAAGTTAATGACTTGTAAAATTCAATCTGCAATTGAATTTTTTTTTCCTTACAATAGAGAAGTTAAGTCTCGAACGAGTTACAATTCTTTTTTTTTTTTTACTTACACCATACGTCGACTAGCCTCACAAGCTCAAGGAACTAGGGTAGATGCTGATTTGTAACTAAATACATAGCTGTTGAATGAGCTGAACCATTACCATTCCTCAGACCATGATGAAAAGCAAAACTTAAACCAACAGGCACAGCTGAGACCAAGAGCTGTATTCGGAACATCATGTTCAAAAAGCTTTGAAACTAAAGGCAAGCAGTCACTCTTGAAGCGGTACGAGTCGCAAAGAATGAACATGCATGCCCTTAGTTTCTTCTACTTGATCCCTCTCCAGTCCATCATACTGCAAATCGTAAGCAGCTCCTTTCCAACTAACATTGTGTCGAGTCAAAATTTTATACTCTGTATTTCTCATGAATTATGCAGCAATCAACTTCAATGTGCTTTTGTTCTTTTTTTAATTCGAAAGTACTAGACTGGTGAGGCAACTGAAGCATTATAATCAGATTCACAAGCAGATGCTGATTGTCTACAACAGTTTCTACTCGAAAGCTAAATGATAAAGCTTAATCAGATACTGGCACACAAAGAATTCAGCCCGAATTTTATCAAGGCATTACAAGCAAATCAGTTGATTACGAGTAATAATGACAACAATGCTGAGATTCTGAAAAAAATTGGTATGATTGTTGATCTGAAACCAACTCAACTTAGCTTTCAGATAACAGGCCAGATTCTGAGCTACAGAAAGCCACAAGGTATCAAAATAGAGTATATACCGAAAAATCTAAATTCAACAAGCGAAAATTGAACATAATTACTTGTAGGATATATCCTACAAAGAGAGCAAATCAATTAATAGAAACAAATTGGAATTAAAATTGAAATTAAATTGAGATAGCTATTGATGATATATAGCAAGCAAACTCATATATTGCTCATATTATATATAGCAGTAAAATAACATTACAATCTCTATTACATGATACTATAATAGTAAGATAATATCATTAACCAACATAAACTTACAAAATTAATAGCATAAAAAAAGATTCAAAGAATAAAAAAATTCCCAATATTTTTTTCTTTCTCTTAGACATTGAGAGCACCAGCAGAAGGGTAAGGCAAGTACCCCATCTCTTCCTCAGAAGATCCAACTTTCGCCGTCTTTCGAAATCCTCCATTGAAATCACTACCAGATCCTTCGACGACAGCGTAGTACTTCAAGAAGAAGGCAACGGTAAGAACAACCCATTCCAAGCAAAACATCACAACACAAAGACCACCTGCCAATTTCAGAATCATCACACCACTGTGTTCCTCAACATAGGATTTTAGGCTGACTAAGAAATCATCACTCCTAGTAAAGATCAACACCGCAATCGATCCTTGAAAGATTGCGGTGAGAACGGCGGCTGCCATGTGGGCACCGTACCACCGGGTGCCACCCGTGCTTGCAGCGTGGCACCCGGCTAAGGCGCCCAAGATGGTGAGGAGATGGAGGCATATGAAGAAGAAGCCGCAAAGCGAAGGGATTAGTCGGAGAGAAAGTGTGAGGAATATGCAACTTGAGGCTGCTGCTAAGAGGATGTAATTGCTGAAGAGAAAGAGTTTTTTGGTTTTGAAGTGGGGTTCTGTGTTGGATGGGGAAACAATTTTAAGACCACCCATTTTTTGTGTTTTTTTTTTTTTTTTTTTTTGAGAATTTGTTGAAGATTTTTGGTGAATTTTGGAGAGAATTTAGGGGAGAAAATGAAGGGAATTTTGAAATTGTTCAAGATGTCTTGAATCAGAGAGAGAGAATTGTGAGTTTGTGAGGAGAGAGGTGGGAAATTGAGGGGAAGAAATAGGGGGAAGGTAACGGTCAAATTTGAAAGTTGGGGGAGAAAGGGTGTAAAATGTGACCGTTGGTGGGGGCAGAGTGTTGGAGGACAGCAAAACTAGCAATGTGGTGCAACGGCTAGAATTACAAACAAAGTGTGGATTTGGATCTTGGTTTTTGTCTTAATTAATTTGATTTGATCACGTTATTAGTTTGTGTTTGTTGCTGGTAATAATTGGAGTTTTGGGATCTAAAATGGTTTTATGATTTTGTAATGAACATCAAGATAGAGGGGATTAGTCCCTATCAAAAAAAAAAAAAAAAAAAAAAGGTTTGCAAATATAATAAACATTAAGGTTTTATAAAAAAATTAGAAAAAAAGATAATAAAAAAAACTTAGAGTATGAATTGATGGTTTTAGATTTGGGATTTGTACTAAAAAAACTCAATAGCTCTGAGTTTTGTTTTTGGGAGGAGAAGCTCTCAATAAAATGAGGAGTAAAGTTGGGCATGGATCAAGCCGACATGAGTTTGATCTAGCACAAAAGATTTATTTTGACCCATTCAGCCATGACAAGTTAAACACAAGCCATGTTAGCACAACGCGTGGACCTTCATAGCCTAGCATGCGCCTAGCTCTAATGAGTGAGTATGTTTGACAACAATTTTAAGGATATCTTCCAAAATAAATTCAACTCGAAATTATTCTATGTACTTAATGTAAAGAAAAAGGTCCCAACATATTGAGAACCTTAAATACTTGCTTTTATTACTTGTTAAGGTAATATGATGGTAGAACTTTGTGAGTTAATAAAGTATAGGTTTAATAATATACCTTCAAAAAAATAAAAATAAATTAATAATAAAAACACTAACAATTAATAATTACTCACACAAATAACATTTAATTATTTACTACCACATCTATCTTCACAATTAATAGCTACCTCCACATTTTTATTTTGCCAAACGAGGCCTTAGTGTTAGTTTACGATGAATGAGATAATGAAAAGGGTATTTTCAAAGTTGTATTAGTACACTTAAATAAATATGAAAGTACTTTAAGTGCAAAATCAATAATATATATATATATATACTATTTTTTTTAATCGATATGATATTTGAGTATGCATGACAAAATAAAAATTCATTTTTCTACTAGTAATAAATAGGACATTACTATTCATCAAAAAAATAAATAAATAGGACATTATCTTAATCAATATGTTGCACGCAATTAGGTAATGAAGAAACAGATTACCATGAGAGTAATTGAATTTTTGTTTTAATTATTAAATTCAATGTTTTTCATGTTGTTAGTCTGTTGATATTCTTTTTAATTTTTCGTCAAAAAAAAAAGAAAAAAAGAAAAAGAATATCATTATAAGTCAAGGGTCTTCTCCAAATATCTCCAAATCCAGTTGTTTTTCAACATTCCAACATCTATCGAAAAGGTGACTGTATAGCTAAATATGTTCATTTCATTTTCACTAATAATCCATATTTTTAGATGATATTTGCCTACTTGATCCCTCATATGGAATACAGCAATTAAGCGTCACTTAAGTTTTTCCTCGATTGAGGTAAACTTGCCAATAAATATGACCACATTAAGATATTGACATGACAAAAAAAAAAAAAAAAAAAAAAACGCATTACATAATATGGTGTGAGCATGGCCTCATAAACTGAGTTACTCAGTAATTCACACCCTCACACGTGTTTTAGGCATGACACTACACAACTTGACATGAAGAAACCTCTCCCAAAAAAAGATATCATTAGTCTAAGCACGATACGACACGATCACACGATCCAAAAAAGAGTTATGTTGTGCCTGGGGCCTGGGCCAGTACAGACACATTTTTCATGGCCCAAACATGGTCAATCTAATGCCAAATCTAAATTAATCCTATTACAAAATTTACAGTACTACCGTACTACGTAATTTTTTTCCAGCAATAACTAAAGCAAAAGGGCTCAATTTTATGTTCTCCAATCTCCACAAAACACAGTACCATGTCGAGGTTTCCAGAAAAACCATAAACTCAAAGAAAAACACTGCAAATTAATCAACAATCAAAGAAATCGCACTTCAAATTAATCGAGAAATACCCACTTCAATCCATCTCCTGTTCATCTTCTTCGAGTTGAATAACAATGTCGTCGGTTGATGATTCGAGCTTACAGCACTCCCAACAATTTCTCATTGGTTAGTGCTTTCTTTTCCCTTTCATATTCGCTATCTTATTTTTTAATTAATGTATGCTTTTAATTTGATTTCTTGATTTGATACCCTTTAATCTGTCAGAAATAAAAATAAAAATTGATTCTTGATTCTATTTATGCTATGGTGTGTGATAATTGAATACCTAGTATTTTTTTATTGCCCCTTGAGTTCAATTCAATATTCAATGAATTTATTGCTGTTATGTCAATGTTATTGCGTTTTTTTTATGAATTTGTGAATTGGGTTTTGTACTTCGATTATATAGAACCCTAAAGATGAATTATTTAGGTCAAAATCAGCATGTTATGTTGGAGATATTTTTATGTGTACTATTTTAGGATGTTTGGAAAGCCTTGTGATTATCAATGGTGTGGGAATAGTGGTATAGTGAAATCATGTCATGTCATATCGTTCATTATGAGGGGTTGGGGTGATGTGACAATCATTTCTAGATGGAGGGAGTAGAATGATGTGTGTGAAAATGATTAAGAGTATTAGGGCTTTGCTTCTAGGGTTTATGATTGCTACGAGTTTTAATGTAATCGGGTTTTGTTTGAAACATTTGTGTTTCGTCGAGGAAGGTCTTACTTTCTTTTCTTATGTATGGGGTTTTTATATTGTCTTTGTTTGTTATCAGGGACTGAGGGTACAACAACTCAGCATTTACCAGAAAATGCTCTAGTGGGATGGTATTTAATTGATCCAAACCAGCAGCAGATTGGCCCATACACATTGTCAGAATTGCAGCGTGAGTTTTACCTTATCAACTGTGTAATTATTTGTGATTGAGTACTTAGTTTATGGTTTTGTTCTGCTGGAGCTTGTAGCTCAGGGTACTTATTACTTCATTACTGTGAATCTGTGAATGAAATGTGATTGTCGCTTATAAAGATTTGCTTAGCGTGACATCAAATGACATGTGGGTTACA